GCAGAGGTGCCTGGTGCCTAAGGGTGAAGAGGCTCCACCTAGGCAGGCTTGGCGGGGCTCATATTGAGCACCTTCTGTATACGGGACACTGATGCAAGCCTTCCGGAGACTTGCCTTTGCACGCACCTCTGGACCTTCCACATGCATCGTTTTACTTTTTTTTTTTAATGTTTTTATTTATTTCTGAGAGAGAGAGAGAGACAGTGTGAGCAGGGGAGGGTTAGAGAGAGAAGGAAATACAGAATCTGAAGCAGGCTCCAGGCTCTGAGCTGGCAGTCAGCACAGAGCCCGACGTGGGACTCAAACCCAAGAACCGTGAGATCATGACCTGAGCCGAAGTCAGACGCTCAACCGACTGAGCCACCCAGGCGCCCCACATCGTTTTACTTACGAAGGGCTCAGCTGCATTCGGTGAAGGGCAAGTCAGCGATCAGGAGGGTAAAGAAGAGCCCCTGGCCTCTGTGTCTCCATCGCACACGGACAAGGAAAGTCAGCTCATCTCCCTAAAGCTGAGTGGGGTTTTCGGAGCAAAGCTCACTCGAGACAGGCTGTCCGCACTCCAGGCCACCACGAGAGAAAGCATGTTCTAAACCCCCTAAGAATTTCTTTTTATGTAGCTCTTAGACTTTGAGAAACTTAATCAAACCCGCCATAAAAGGGCATTGTCCGTTGACTTGGCCTTTCCATGTCAGTAGCAGAAATGTTGCACGAGGCAGAAGCAGGAAAAAAGTAATTTAAAAACATCATTGAACCAAATCTGCCTTGCTGCCTCCTTAACAGTATTTTATAAGAAAAGCTCACGCTGCTAGAGCCCCTTGGGAGCCGTACAGGAGTGGATCACATTGTAACTGGCAGCTTTCGATGACAAATTTGTCTCCGGATCCAAGGCATTACTGGGGCTTTAAATAAGCGTGCTGCATTCAGAGCCTTAACTTTGGGGTTTCTCCTAGGGGAGATGCCTTAGCTTAGAAGCCACCAGAATGACTCTCAGATTATGTGCCTCACCTGCGTAAACCTCCAATGGCAATCAAGGGTGCATGATGTAAAACCCTGGCCGGGGACCAAACCTCAGTGAGAAGAAACTAATAGTCACCAACAAAAGTAAATAATCATAGCTCTGCTTACACTGGGCTTTACTATGTGCCACTTTACATCTATTAATTAAAGTCATTCTCATTATTGGCCCCATGAAGCCGGTACTGTTCCATAGGTGGGCAAAGTGACCCAAAGAGGTTGTGACTTGGGCCATCTGCACAGCTAGTAACATGCAGCCAATATTTTTACCCAAGACTGTTGGTCTGTGCTACTAATTACTAAGTGTGTCACACAGTAATTGACTGATGAGCTAATTCTTCCCTGTTTCTTCTCAGCTTTGAGTAGGGCCTGGATTTCCAATTAACTTAGGGGCAGCTGAGTTCTCTAGCAAATTTGTGATATGGAGTTCATCGTCTTCAGTCCACATGATCTTCATGGTAGAGAATCAGCTTCCGGGGGTGCACAGCTGATTAAATTCCAGTTCATATAATCCCCAGGAGGGCATTATTACCATTGGTGGCTCTCTTGCCAATATACTTTGAAATGCCTTTTGTTTTTCTTGATGCTTTCAGGGGCTATTTTATTTAGGTGTTAATATTGCTGCTACGTCATTTTCTTCTGTGTGACACTTAAAGGCCTGAGGATTTGACTTTGCCTGTGACTCCAGCTACCAAAACTGTACTAATTTTTTTTTCTTAAAATCTACTTTGCATTAATTTGTTCTAAGGCTCTTTCCTACCCTCCAGGTAAAGTAATATATTGGAGCAGGGGGTTTTGAGAGAGAGACAGATAGTCCCTGCTTTAGCCTTCTGGGTCACATGGTTTCCTGCTGCAACTACTCAAGTCTGTGCGGTGGCCATAGATAATACTAAATGAACGGGCATGGGACCTTGTTGTAATAAAACTTAATTAAGACGGACAATGGGCCAGTTTTGGCCCAGGGGCCTCTGTGTGCGGAACTCTGAATTAAAGCAGCATAGTTCTTGCCTACCCCTGATTTCCTCTCAGATCCAGAGCCCTGGGAATCTCCTATGTCTGGCATCTCTCTGCATCTTGGCCCCAGAGAGGTAGAGCCACATATCAGATTGGTGAATCTGGGAATAAACCGAATCTGCCATGTTCCACTCTGTTTCTTTTCTGTTGGCAGTGGCGGGCCCACAGTGGGTCGGACTTCAGCTCTGCTGTTTCTGGGGCCCAAAGCTGCAGTGGCTGGGTAGGTAAATCTACCGGATTCAGAGCTTCTGTGTCCACAACCCATTCTTGCCCAGAGTCCTTAGCAGTAACCTGCAACCTGGCTTTTAGTCTCTGATAAATATGCACCCAGAACCCCATCCGCTTTAGTCTTTTATCTTATTTCTCAATAGCCTCCAAGTGGTACTTAACAGGTCTCCTCAGAGGTACACATAAAATGCTGTATCGTGAATTTTTTCATGTTGTCAAGAAGCCAGACAACATTTATGTTCTCTCAATAAAACAGCACAGACCATCTTAAAACATCCAGATCCCTGGCTTTTTTGGCTGGTTCTCTCATGCTTTGTGGTAATGCTCTGCATGGATCATGAATTGGCAGTGATACAGGTTTTGCATAATATTCATTTAATAAATGACATTATTTACAGATAAAAGTTCTGTCAAAACATATCGCTCATGGGAGGAAAAAATAGGAGGTCCGTGGTGGCAATGAGGTGGGACACCATTCCTCTAAATCCCCCCAGTGTTAATTCCCAGTGGATATTCTAAATCCCCTCCCCCAACGCTAATTCCCAGTGCACCGAGCAGGGATGCGCAGAACAGCTGTGGCTGTCCCCTTCCTTCTGTCCTCTGTCCTTCCATATTGCTCAGAGCTAAGCAGAGATGCGCTAACAGATACCATAGAGCCTCCTGGCCAAGGTTTTTGTGTTAGTTTGCTCAGGCTGCCAAAACATAGCACCCAGACTGGGGGGGGTTTAACCAAGAGAAATGTACTGTCTCACGATTCTGGTGGAAGAAAGTATGAGATCAAGGTGTGGGCAGGGTTCCTTCCTCCCGAGGGCTGTGTGGGAGGATGCTGCTCCCGGCTTCTCTCCTTGGCATGTAGAAGGCCATCTTCTCCCTACCTGCTCCCTTCATCTTCCATCTATGCGCGTCATGTCCCCTTTCCATAAGGGCGCTGGTCGGTCATATTGGATGCACCCCTCCCCCCAGTGATGTCACTTGAATCTGATTACCTCTGTAAAGAACCCTTCTCCAAAGAAGGTCACGTGCTGAGGTGCTTGGGGTTAGGACTCCAACATGAGAATTTTAGGGGGACACACAATTCAACCTGTAACAGTTGTCTAAACCAGAAATTGCTGCGTTTGCTCCTCAGGGTAAGCTCCATGACATTCTGCCCTGGCGTTTCACGCGTGACAAGTCCCTGAACGTGTGCTGACCTGATCCGAACGACGGTTCATGCGGGCTCTATGGGTGACGGGTGGGGAGGAGAGAAGGAAGGTCGCACTCTGTGGGAACACCTTACACATCAGGAGGGAAAGCCCTCCTTCTTCCTAGGCACTTGACCAACGCTTACCCCCTCTGAGCCCCTCACTGTCCCTGCAGGCTGAGCCACCCCAGGGTTCCTTTTACTAACAATGCCCCTGCATCCTGAACTGCAAGACACACTGGAGACATTTAGGAAAGACAGCTCTATGACAGCCGACGACTCCGACAAGCTCTGACTTGGCTTTTTGTCCTTTGGCCTCCCCCCTGCTTTGGCTGCACAGTGGCCTTCACAGACCCGCAGGCTTTTCCCATTAGCGCAGGTGCCGGCTGGAGCCGCCTCCCTGTCCTGCTCTCCCTGCAGGATGTATACATCTGCCTCCTGGTTTGCAAGAGGGCCCTCCAAGGGCGTCTGTACCCTGGACTTTCTGGGCCCGGGCGCTGCAGCGAGGGATTTCAGACAGACCCCAGAGGGAGTCCTGTCCACACCAGCTGCGCAGCCCCGGTCTCCTGAGACACGTTCCACCACCACCCCCTCCACCTCCATCTCCAAGTCCTGGGCAGAGGGGTCGACCAGCCTGCCGCTCCTGGTAGTAGTACTAGAGCCCGTAGGTTCCCAATCCCTTACCAAAGAGCACTGGACCCTAACCTATCCCCAAAGTGCTCCGAACACGGGGTTGAGCCTTCTGGCACCCCACCCTACCCCTTAAGCCTTGCCCCTAGCCCCTCATCCCAGCTGAGGATGCGTCCCACAACAGCCACCGGGCTCAGCCCCCGCCCATCCTCTAGGTGAAGGTCTCCTCGCCCAGGGGTCCTCACAGACTGTGCAGCCCTGCCCTGGCCCCCACCCCTCACCCCAACTTGCAGCCCCGACCCCAGATCCCACCCCAGAGTTGCAGCCCTGACTCTGCAAAGTGTAGCTCCGACCTCCTGCAGCCCAGCCCCCATCCCGCCTCTCCTCCAGCCCCCACGCGGGTTCTGCTGCCTTGCACCATTCCCTCTACCCACCCCCCACCTCCATCAGGCAATGACGCCCACCTCCATCCTCCCTCTCCTTCATCCCCTCCCCCAACCCCCTCCTCTCCCGCCCCTCCCCGACAGTGAAGCCCCGCCCCATCCCCTCGGCCCCTCCCCGACAGTGAAGCCCCGCCCCATCCCCNGCGGGTTCTGCTGCCTTGCACCATTCCCTCTACCCACCCCCCACCTCCATCAGGCAATGACGCCCACCTCCATCCTCCCTCTCCTTCATCCCCTCCCCCCCCCGCCTCCTCTCCCGCCCCTCCCCGACAGTGAAGCCCCGCCCCATATCCCTCGCCCCTCCCCGACAGTGAAGCCCCGCCCCATCCCCTCGGCCCCTCCCCGGCAGTGAAGCCCCGCCCCATCCCTCGGCCCCTCCCCCCAGTGAAGCCCCGCCCCATCCCGCCTCTCCAGCCCTCTCTGGGTCTCGGCAGCCTCTGCGACTCCTCGAGCAGCGGCCACCCGCGCAGCCCCTCCCCAGGACGGCTCACCTTGCCGGGGCGGTAGTAGTAGCTGTGCTCCTTGGGGTCCAGACGCCGCGGGGGGACGTAACTGAAGGCGGAGAGGGCCGAGAGGGGCAGCGGCCGGGGCTTGGTCCGCAGCGCGGCGGCGGTGATCTCCTCGTCGTGCTCCATGCCACCCTTGTCCTGCGCCCCCGCGCCCGCCGTGGTCGGTGCCGCCCGCCGAGGGCCCGGTCTGGGTCTGCCCGTGCAGGCAGCCGGGCGCCCGCGTTCGGCGTCGCCTGGAAACCGCGTCCCCTGGGCACCGGCTGGGCGGGGCCGGGGGTGGGCCCCACCGCCCTCTCCCCTCCCCCACTCCGCTCCGGGCCGAGCTCCCTCCTCCTCCTCCCCTCGCCCCCTCCCCTCCCCGCTCCTCCCGCCCCCGCTCGGCCCTCCCTTGCCCGCTCCTCCCCGCCGCCCTGCTCAGTCCTCCACGCACCCCCAGCCACGCCCCGGGTGTTTCCTCGAAGGGGAGTCCCTGGAGTCCCAGGGGCACACGGGGGCTCCCGGGTGGGAGAGGCCTCGGGGTCGGCGCCTTCCAGCCCGCTGACCCTTCGCCCGGCTGCACCGGGTCTCACCCAGACCGCTGGTTTGTCAGGCAGCTGATGCCTCTGTGCGGCCTTGGGGGTGCAGTCCCGAACCGGAGCGTCCAGCCCGCGGACCGAACGGAAAGACCAGTGACCTGAGGGGCTCTAGAGCAGCGTCGCCCCATAGGGACGTAATGGGAGCCACACGCGTAATTTAAAACTTGCCGGTTCCCGCTGAAAAGGGGAAAAGACACAGATGAAATTAATTGTAAGAAAGTGCTTCTTTTACTCAGTTTGTCCACCACGTTGTCATTTTGACACGTGGCCCCAGCCACAGTCCGAGGGCTGAGCGGCCGCACCGGGCTAGTACTTAGGGCATTTATTGCCAGAGAAGGTGTGAGGCTCCCAGGAATTAAGTCCGCTCCCGTCAGCGGCTCCGGTCGGAGCGCTAGCGCGCCTCTGCTAACAGGGTCATGCTGTCTGTAGATCTGAAAGCTGGTTCTAGACGCCCTTGGCCGAAAGTTCATGGAGCAGAAGCCCATGAACAGGTTCGGAGGGGAAAGGCATCAGGGTGACAAAACCTAGGGAAGTACCTTAACCAGGGTGCTTGGTGAAGGCCAGCCTCTATGAGGGGGTGACAATGGAGCAGAACTGTAACGAGGAGCCAGACTTGGTCAAGTCTTCCAGAAAGTCCCTTCCAAGCAGAGGGAAGAGACGCTGTGGGGCCCCTGAGGCAGACCCATCTTGACGTGCTCCAAAGGCAGCCAGAAAAGAGGATGGTGGAGTTTCAGAAGAGGAGGATTTGAGAAGCCCACCAACCCAATCAAAGGAGGGAGGCGGAGACTCAGAGCACAGTGAAGGGAGGCTTTGATCAACATTCTTGCAAGAGCAGGTGTCTGGGGCGCCTGAGTGGCTCCGTCAGTTAAGCATCCACTTTGGCTCAGGTCATGATCTCATGGCTTGTGAGATCAAGCCCCGATTTGGGCTCTGTGCTGACAGCTCAGAGCCTGGAGCCTGCTTGGGATTCTGTGTCTCCCTCTCTCTCTCTGCCCCTCCCTCCCTCACTCACATGTACGTGCTCTCTCTCTCTCAAAAATAAACATTAGGGGCACCTGGGGGGCTCAGTCGATTAAGCGTCTGACTTTGGCTCAGGTCATGATCTCATCGTCCGTGGGTTTGAGCCCCGATTTGGGCTCTGTGCTGACAGCTCAGAGCCTGGAGCCTGCTTCAGATTCTGTGTCTCCTCTCTGCCCCTCCCCTGCTTATGCTCTGTCTCTCAAAAATGACTAAACGTTTAAAAAAAAAAAAAAGAGCAGGTGTCTGATGGACAGGAACACTGTGGGCAGTGTCAGCAGACAATTTATCTCCTCGCTCGCAAGTCCCTCCCCTGGTTCCTCATTGGCTGAGCACTGCAGAGGTTACAGCCTTACCCGGACATTGTCTACACCCATGTAAGGCAAAAAGTAGCTGATTAGAACAAACGTATATTTCCTGAGACTTTCAGTTTCTCCGCCCTGTTCTTTGGCGCATACTCATCGCAAAGCTTGTGAAAATAAGCCCACAAAAGCAGGGGGGAAGAGGAACTAGGACGTGAAGTGTCTAAGGGTTTGGGACTCCACTGTGAAGGGGGAGCATGCATATTTCAAATACATTGTAAACCTACTGCTAACCAGGCGGCACAGCTTTTATCTGGTATTTATGAAAATGAAACATCTCCCTTCTCGCAGAGGACACTAGAAGAAGTGAAGGAGGACACGTAGGCAGGGACCAGACCCAACGCTCTGGGGGACAACCCTCTACCTTCTCATTCCCCCTCTTACTTGGAATCTCTTGTCTGCAATTCCTTACGCAGGCTGGTGTAGACCTCTCAGTCCGAAGCACAAGGTAGCACCTCCCTGTTGAGTTCTCCTCATGTCTCCTGGAGGTCCTGGTGTGCAGGACTTAATGCGGAGCCACCGTTCTGTCTCATGGCGCCCCCATGAGGTCTGAGAACCCCATGTACCTTCTTTGCCCCGATACCCATCTCCTTGCTCCACTGGCAGGACAGATGATTTGGGCTGGGTCAGACAAAGGTCAGACACCAGTCTACTTTGTCCCCAAGCTCCAGGGGGCATCTCACGAGAGGCTGACATGTCCTTGGAGCTTGGAGACAGAGCACCACCACCCCTGTGTGTGAAGTGAAGGGAGAGTGTCTCTCATCCATCCCCATGCGGCAGAGTCCTCCTAAAAGCACCACAAAGAAAGAAAAAGAAGCTCTTATAATCCATTACCTCTCTCAGTCTCTGCAGCCTCTTTCAACGATGTGACAGAGGTGGTCATTTGGCCACACGACTTTGCACACCCCACGTAGGTGATCCAATATCACAGCGTGGAACAGGGAACTAGCCGATCTCAATTAGCTTGAGAAGGCAGCTAACACTGACACTGAAATAACCTCGTCGTACAATCTTTTTCCAAGGCTCTAGGATGTGAATCTGTTGCTAGTTTCAGGGCATGACATTTCATGATGCACCAGACTCAGCGCTCAGGAGGGTGAGACAACAGACATACATCTTTTTCTTCTTTGATGGCTCAAGGATGGCTGACACACAGTAGGTCCTCAACACATCTTTGGTGACTAAAGAAAGAAATAATACAGTGGCTATAGCTTGGTCCGCTCTAAAGGTAGATGTGGGACATGGGCTCGAGTGCTCTGCCTTTATCTGGGAGATATAACAGGGGGCATGAATGAGGGAGCAGGAGTGGGAGAGGCAGGAAAGTCAGTAGAAGAATGAATTATCAAGGGCAGCCGGAGCTCTGCCCTGCCCAGAACTTTCTGAGGAGCGTGGAGAGCAGGCTATTAGAAGTGCCTGCCAGATCGATGAACCTGGATGTGGTGCCTTTTATCCTTTGCTCTGAGTCCATCTGGGTTGAAGCCTGCCCTTGGATCTTTTACTCCTGACCTAGAATAACCGCTGCTGGGTGCTTCGTGGGCTCCCCTGCAGGTATTGCCTCAGGGTCAGAGGAGACTGACAGCAAAAGGCATGGGGGCATCTACTGAGGTGTGGTGCTGTTTTGGGAGGTGAGTCCTAGCCCCGTAGAAGCGGCCACCACCCTGAGGCTGCAGGCCAGGGGCCTAATGATAGAGGAAAGAAGAGGTAAGACAGGCTTGACCTGTTTCAATTACCTGGAGGTTTTAGTTCCTTTAAAAATCTCTCCCCCCGACCCCCTTCCACAATCCTATTATGTATTCCAAGTAAGAGTGGAATAGAAAGTCGGAGAGTCGAACATGTTTAAGTCCCTCCTGTCTGTAACTTGTACTTACAAAGTGCTGTGCAGGACAGAAAGGGGAAGGAATGAACAGCTGCCCTCGAAAGGAGTGAATTAATAGCTGAAGGAGGCACGCTGTCTATGTGGGGGGGGGGAGATTAACTATGCCGGGGGAGGGGGATCAGCTCAGCTGGGTGTTGCAGGTGACAGCGTCCGCTGAGGTGTGCGATATTCCCACCCCCAAATCCCACTCCGGCACCATGGGCTTTGTGCGGTGCCAGGGCTGACTTTGGGTGTGTCATGTTGTCTTTCCTCTGCCCTGAGGCCGACTTAGTAATAAAACATCGGAAAGTAATATGTGACCTTTGCCTGGAGCCTGATTCAAACAAGCAAACAGTTAAGGAATAGTTTTTGAGACAGTTTAGGAAGGCAGGAACTATAGACCAGGTGTTAAATGGTTGTAGAGAATAATTATTAGTTTGTTAGTTGTAACAATAGTAGAATACTTAGATAAAAAAGTGTTCATTGGTTGTGGATGTATACTTAGCTATTAAGGAATAAACTATATGATAGCCTGGATTTCTCTACAAACTTTCCAATAAAGAAAGGGAAAGAGTCGATGAATCATGATTAGAGAATTTAGGTAATTTTTCATGCCGAATAAAAGGACTCACATGGATTCATTACATTGTTCTTTCTCTTTATTTTCTTCTTTCTGTGTTCAGAGTTTTCTATAATAAAAGTAAAAACTGGAAGAGTTATTGGGACGCCTGGGGGGCCCAGTCAGTTAAGCGTCTGACTCTTGATGTCGGCTCAGGTCATGATGTCACGTTTCATGGGATCAAGCCCCGCCTTAGGCTCTTTGCTGACAGAGTGGAGCCTGCTTTCTATTCTCTCTCTGTCCCTCCCTTGCTCATGTGTGTATGTGCTCTGTCAAAATAAATAAATAAACATTAAAGAAACAATAAGAGTTATTAAGATACTGTTTCTTGCAATCATCAGAACCCCAAATATCGGAGTGTGTGCTAGACGCCAGGGCTCTGGGAGGGGGAGGGTACAGGAAAGCTGGTTTTCTTCTTAGATGGGATTACACGTATATTAAGGTAAAAAAGAATCCTCAGAAATGTCTTTTTCATGTTTATTTTTGAGAGAGAAAGAGAATGGGCAGGGGAGGGACAGAGAGGGGGTGACAGAAAATCCCAAGCAGGCTCTGCGCTGACAGCATAGATGCGGGGCTCAAACCCACACACGGTGAGATCCTGACGGGAGCTGAAGTTGGACGCCCAACCGACTGAGCCACCCAGGCGCCCCCAGGGTGAGATGTCATATGACAGATCCCACAGCCAAAGACCACCACCTGGAAGTTAGGCGCAGGAAGGGAGACAGGTCCTGAGGGCAGCCAAGGGCAGGGACGGCCTGGAGATCAGAGGATTTGGGGAAGGCGGGTTGGGGTAAGACCGAGTAAGCTGCATGGAGATACTCACGCAGAACAGGTTTGCCCGTAAAAGGTTAAGGTTGGGCCTGACCAGAGAAGCCGACTCCGGATCCTCGAAGGGAAGATAAAGGTGGGAAGTCGTGTCCAAGCCCCACCTCAGCTGAAGCGCTGAATCAGGTTGGAAATGGAGTTTATATGTTTGTGTCAAAATCACCCATGTGATTCTGATGTGGCTCAGGATCCTGGAGGCAACAAAGGAATGTTCCATTCTAGTCGACACGGTTTCAAACAGCAAAGATTTTGCTGCACGAGGGTTCCCGGCACCCTGTCCTCGGTCCTAATTAACCAAAGCGGCTGCCTGTTCACCGCGGGAGTCGTGTTCCTCCCCCAGAGCATCCCGGCGAGTACCCTCGGCACTAGTTGTAGCAATGAAGGTGAGTTAGGAATGCAACATTAACACACGGACCGGTAACGACAGCCACAAGTCTTACTGAGCACTCGCCGTTTGCCGGGTTCTGGCCAAACACGTTACGAGCTGTGTCTCATTTCACTCCCCTGCACGAAGCGCAGAGACTCAGCACGAAGGGTGTGGGCTCGCTCCCAGTTTGGGGAAATCTCCGCCTCTGGAGGCTAACTCACCTAGCTCGCCGCCCCTGAGCCCAGATCCCCTCACTGCACTTGAACTCGACGGCTTCCGTGAGTGCAGCGTTTTTAGAGGGAACCGAGGACTTCTTTGCTCTCTCAGAATTCTATCAGGAATACACTGAGTTCTGTCCCTTCTTGTTTTTCCTTCCACACAACAGACGTTGACCAGGCCTCCACACACACCCGGCCGTGGGAGGGGGGCAGACAGGGTCCTGGGTCCTGTCGACCCTTCAAGTCTGGGTGGTTCAGGCGACATGCATTCCTTTTGTAGAGGAAGGAAAGGAAAAGCACCTGTTTTGTTCTGACGGGACGGTCACCCCACGCTCCCACAGCTCCTGTGCCCGCATCCACTCTCCTCCAGAAATCTCCCTTCTGAACTGCTGCAACCCAACGAATAGCCCAGGCTTTGCTGCCCCCTAGAGGTGGGCCTGAAGAATATCACCATGGTGGTGGTGGGGAGGAAGGCTTTCTAGTAGAACAATTTTTCACCCCCTTTTTTTTTTTGTTTTTCTTTTTTTAAAATTTTCTTTGCTCTTACTTTTGAAAAGCTACAGTGAGATATAGAAAGACGTCACCAGGGGCGCCTGAGTGGCTCCGTTGGTTAAGATCTCCTGCATGATCTAATGGTTCGTGAGTTCGAGCCCCCAGTTGGGTTCTGCACTGACAAAGCGGAGCCTGCTTGGGATTCTGTCCCTCCTTCTCTCTCTGCCCCGCCCCCCGTCTCAAAATAAATAAACTTTAAAAAAAGATACCATCAATGTATGATAACAAGAGCTATGAGACTGGTAAGTCATTCCAGCAATACCATCACTTTTGCTTGGGTGGGTAAACGTTACTACCTGAGGGTTCCGACGATGAGGACTTGGCTTTAGAATCTTACAGGACTCGTCAAATTCACTGCACCTGGTCAAACCAGAAACCTTGTATCTACTTACTAGCCTCAATGATCGTCATGACAAACACGTACATTTTCAGGATTAAAATTTGCTTTATTTTTTAAATTATTTTTTAAAAATATTTTTTAAGGTTTATTTTTATTTGAGAAATAAAGAGGGAGAGAGAAAGCAAGCAGGGCAGGGGCAGAGACAGGGAGACAGAATCCCAAGCAGGCTCCGCACGGCCAGCACAGAGCCCGATGGGGCCTCAAGCTCACGCATCACAAGATCATGACCTGAGCTGAAGTGAAGAGTTGGAAGTTTCAACCACTGAACCACCCAGGGGGCCCAGGATTAAAATTTGCTGTAAAACCAAGTGTCGGTCAGTCCGGCCTCCTCTGGACTGCTGTGTGCTCTGTGGCCCTGCCATGTCTGGAACGTTCTCCATGGCACAGACCCACCTCCCTTCCACCTAACCTTCAGCTCACAGCCTCACTCACTCCCCGCACAGGCCTGGGCCGTTCTCCATTGGGAGTCTCGCACACCCGGGGGCCAGTGGGCTCCCCGCTATAATCATCTGCTCACTGACTGGCTTCACTCAACTCCTGGCCCCTCAGGCCTGGCTGGGCCCTGTTCCCTTCCCTCAGCAGCTGATGCATTCAGGGGGCCCCCACGCCGTGAGAGCCCTTCCATAAATGTCTGGGGAACGAACGAAGGGCAGGGAGAGACAAATGAGTCTAGGAGGCCCCGGGGAGGGGGATGTGACTCTGGTTGGAGGGAGGCCGGTCACGGTGGGGGAGGACTTAGACCCACAGCAGAGAAAGAACATTCTAGCCTGTACTTAGAATTTAGAGCAGTCACCACACCTTTGTGTGGCTGTCTGTCGGGTCTTTCTTCTCTTTGCTCACTGCATCTCAGGCTGTTTCACACCCGATGAGCGAGTCATGGGGAAAGGCGAGCAGGGCAGTGGGGCTGGCCTGGAGGCCGGACAGGGAGCAGCATGGCCAAGCGGGCACAGAACTGGGCAGCCCCCAGGCACCCGTCCCCCGGCACCCGTCCCCAGGCTCCCGTCCCCCGGCACCCGTCCCCCGGCACCCGTCCCCAGGCTCCCATCCCCCGTCACCCATCCCCCGCCACCCGTCCCCGGCTCCGCTCGCTGCTATCACTCTCCTCTGCAGTCAGAGGCGCGTGCTCCACCGGCTGCAGGCTGGGGGCCTGCTCTGCTCCGGGAACTTTCCTAAGTGCCTTATGTATTTTAACTAATTCTCATTTTGACCAGTTGTGGGTTGAATCCTATACCTCCCACTGTCCCTCCCCCCCACCCCCCGAAAAAAGCTAATCCCAATGCCTACGAATATGACCTTCTTTGGACATAGGGTCTTCACAGAGTCAATCAAGTTAAGATGAGGTCATGGGTGGGCCCCAATCCCATAGGGCCTGAGTCCTTGGAAAAGGGGGAATTTGGGCACAGAAATGCGTACACAGGGAGACAATCATGGGCAGACAGACTCAGACTCAGACACACACACACACACGCAGGGACGACAGCCATGTGAACACGCGGCAGCACACCAGGGAACGCCCAGGACCACCAGAAGCTGGGAGAAGCAAGGACAGATCTTCCTCTGGAGCCCCCGAGGGAGTGAGGCTCTGCTGACACTGACTGGGGCCCCCTGTCCCCCAGGACCAGGAGAAAATAAACTTCTGTTGTGTGGTACTTAGTTGTGGCCGCCCTAGGAAACTTCTCACAAGCCCGTTGCTATTGCTGGTTATCCCTGCGGGAACGGAGGCCCAAGGTCATCAGGTAGCCGGCGGGAAAGCTGGAACTCGCACCCGGGCTGGGTTCTCGGCGGCTGTGCTCTACTGCTTCTCAAGCCCAGACTCCACCCGTCGCTTCTGATGCCGGACGTGGGTGGGACGCTCAGGCCCGCTGAGCTGGAACAAAACCCGACTCAGAAGGGCGGGGGCCCACAGGAGCCTGGGCTGCAGTGCTAGGCACGGTGCGGACAGAGCTCTGTGCTCCACCAGCCCGGTGTCCCCTTCTGCCCCCGCACTTTAACCTGACCCCGACAGGACTGGATGAGGGGGGCGGGGCAGGACTGGAAGGGATGCGGAAGGAACCAGAAGAGATCAACCAGAGGAGGACGCAGCTGCTCTCAATGGGAGACACTCTGATCCGTTCCGGATTCAAAATTCAGAAGCTTCTCCCCCGAGTCAAACGCCCCTCCCAAAGCCCTGCCTGCAGAAATGAGCTTTCCTGTCTTTATACCTTAAAAAAACCAAATAGCTCCCATTCCAATGGGAAACATTTTCTTCTTAACTAAAGGGTAATTTGTGCGTCATTCCGTCCTCACACGTGCATATCCATAATCCTACTCTTTTTCTTGTTCCTCCTCTTACCACGACCTCTTCGAACACAGTAGGAGACCACATTTCCTCCTTCTGTTACAAGAGTTCACAAAGAAAGGTCTTGGAAGAAAACATTTTCAGTTAGCAAGTAACTATGGCACAACAAAGGTTTAAAAATAGGGACACTTGGGGCGCCGGGGTGGCTCAGTCGGTTGAGCATCAGTGTCTTGATTTTGGCTCAGGTCATGATCCCAGGGTCGTGGGATCGAGCCCCCAGTCGGGCTCTGTGCTGAGTGTGGAGCCTGCTTGGGATTCCCTCTCCCACTGGCCCTTACCCCTCCTGCACGCACACACGGAGGCCCTCTGCCTCTAAAATACAAAATACTCATCACATTTCTTTATTGTACTTGGTCAATTGCTATGTGTATAAAAGTATAATACTAGTATTAAATAAAAATAAAAAAACTTCTTTTCAATTTACCAGTGGTAAGTGCATACACGGTATAAGGAAAACTACCGACCTTTCCAGATCACGGCCAACTCACAACTTACACCCTTTCACGGCCTTTTCTGTACCGAGTCCCAAGGAAACACAAGTTCTTTCACCGAGTCGAAAGCCAGTGTCCCTTCTTGTTACCAGCGAACTCCCACGTTGTGAGGAAAGAGTTTTCTCTGTAGATATTCCACCAATTCAACTCTTGATTTTAGCATCTCAACCTCATAATAGGGGATCTGTAAGGGGAGAGAAATCGAAGGCATCAACATCCGTCACGTTCTAACACCACTCTGGTGTTTCGGTTCCTCGAACCTTCTGCCACAGTGCCTGGAGGCAAAGCTCACGGCTATTCATCGGGTGCCCCCCAGTACCCCCAGGGTGCCCGGCACACGGTGGGAATCAGTAAACAGGCAGCAGAACACTCAGAGAGAATGGGCACCTTGCGTGGAGAAAGGCTCACGTTTCAGGTCAGGGCAGAAGGGGGGCCCAGCCCAGAACTTGGATGTGCAGTGTAGAGAGACCAGTCTGCTGGTGGAGGCAGCCTGGCCACAGGGGGGAGGGGAGAGTGGGGGGAGGGAAGAGCAGGGGGGAGGGGAGAGCGGGGGGGGCAGGGGCAGAAAAGAGACCGCTGAGCTTGGCCAATGGCCAACCATGGAGGGCCCTGGATGCCGAGACACAGAGGGGCTTCCGCTGCATCTTGTCAGCAGTGAAGGAACAGTGAAGGTCTCTCCTCACACCTGCACGTTAGTGTTAGGAGGGGTCGGTAATCTGCGGATGCAGGTAAACTACAGAGTGGGGAGACAGTGAGCAGACAGGACAGCAGAGAGCAGACCAGCAGCCGCCAAATGACTGCGAAGCTCTATGAACATTTGCTGCCAACTCCGCACAGGCCACCTTGTTAAGAGATCGACAATACAAACACAAATAAGGGCTCAAGTGTTAAAAGCACAATGACGATCCTGGTTTTAATGGGGTCATCTTGTCTGTTTCTATTCATTCCATCAGAGGGACATTAAGGCAAAACAGGTGCTCTAATAATTCAGTAGCCCTCGAAGCAGGGGTTAGCATAGCTTAAAGAGGGCATGGGATCCTCACTTTTATAAAACTGGGGGTCTGAATATTCTGTATTTCAAAATACAAAGAGATTTTTTTTTTCTTTTAACTGGTAAAATGCACAGAGTTGCAATTTAAACTAGACATAAGACGGTTGGTCCACTGGGCTGGCAGACCACCTAGTGCCCTGGAGAAAGCACATTTAAATTAGAAGTTGCTTTAGGGGAGAAGAAAATACGTGGATTCCTACCTGAACAACTTGATAACCAAGCAGGCGTAGGTGTCTGTGCTTAATAGCTTCCTTTCCCAGTAAGTGTTTGCTATTCAGTGAAAATCTTTTTGGATCATCAATGCACAGTGCTAACCTGAAAAATCGGACAGAGAAAGTTAGTTTTTAAAACAATCCAAAACATTTATACATTTTTAGTGGAAAGGGCTTATTTGGGATTTGGCTATTCCTATGTATCAATATTATTTTCAAATAAATCATGAGTGTGCCATCCTTTAAACTGCTGACAAAGCGCTTAATCTTATTAATGTTTCAGTTACAAGGAATTTCCAAATTTGGGATGCTATACAGTAGGGTCTTTACTTTCAGAAACATGTCTATTTTCCTGCCTTTTGTTTTTTTAAGTACTTCTTTTAACGCTTTATTTATTTACTTTGAGTTGGGGGAGGGGACAGAGAGAGAGAGGGAGACAGAGACAGTCCCAAGTAGGTTTCGTAATAACAGCAAAGAGCCCACCCAATGCCAGGCTTGAACCCAGGAACTGTGAGATCATGACCTGAGCTGAAATCAAAAGTCGGATGCCTAACCGACTGAGCCGCCCAGGCGCCCCACCCGCCTCCCCAACAATCATTAACCCAATGAGTCTTGTAACATAAAAACCACACCAGCTTTCTTCACCTTTTATGCACATCTTCATCAATCGTAAACGGCAATACTAATCCTTCTTCGTCTAATTTAATTTCAACATCTGGTGAGAGAAGAAAGGAAATTCTCTACGTGATACCCTCACAAACACTACGTTCCTTTCCTCCTCCTCCTTCTGTTCTGAGATCGTCTACGCTGCGATTTACCAGCCGCACTGGAGACTGCAAAGTAATGCACACTGGCCTTCGTGAGCATTTTAACTTAACCAGCTCTGGACCCAGCAGGCCAGCCTCGGCCTCTAAAACAAGGTGTCGGTGTGACAAGAGCCACATGTACTTCTTCCTCTCGGTCCTTGAGGGGAGAGCAGGGACCCAGACAGGAAGCGAAGCCAGGCTGTAGCCTACACAAGGCTCCCGGGCTCTCCAGGGTAGGCAGAGCCTCCTGCACCATGATGTGAGGTCGCTGGGCACGGCAACCCCCACTTCCTTCCCTCTGATGTCCTCTGACCCCTTTGTAAAAAGAGCCCCTACAGGAGGAGGGAAGTGAGCTGTGACCACCGGAAGCCTGTGAAACACTGTCTCCTTGGAGCTGATCTTCTTACATTCATTCATTCATTTAGAAAACTGTCCCGCGCAGAAGGACGTGAACTCTCCAGTCAGCCCCACCCAACAGAACTTTCTGCTGTGATGCAAGAGTTTACGCCTTTGCTGTCCAGTGCGACCGCCGGCCACCTGTGGTTCTGAGCCCTTGACGTGTGGCCAGTGCAACCAAAGAACTGAACTTGGACTGTTTAAATTTTAACTAACGTAAATTTAAGTAGCCACAGGTACCACTGGCCACGGTGCCGGGCAGCGCTGACCTAGAGGAGCACAGCGACTATACTGGCTAATGATTACCCGCACTTACTATGCTCCAGCAGCTCGCTCAGTGGGATCGGCAAGTCAGGGTCACTATTCTTACTCTCATTTTACAGAAAAGCAGCAAATGGAAAAAGCTTACTCTGCCCAAAGGCATTCCCCGACCATGGGGCTAACAGGCGGGGCGTCCCCCCTCCCCATGCATCTGGACCCCACGGCTCACCCACTGTTCCCAGCCGCCTTCAGGGAAGGGCCAGCCGTGTTTTACTTCCAGACCTTTCAGTGGTTTCAAAGTCCCACATACTCCCAAAGAGGGCAGCAGGCAGAAGCAAGTAAGCGGTAACAAGACGCCCAGGGACCTACCTATTGTGTAACAATACGGTGTTAACACTTTTGAAGCAAAGTACATTCTCGCTCCCAGAAGGTCGATCAGCCCGATCCTCACAAGCTTGTAAAGCTGAAAATCCACTGGCGTCTCCAGAGAGCGGCACGGGGTAAGAAACGACCTCACTTGATATTTAGGAAGAAGTTTCCGACCCTGAAAATGGTATGTTTAAACATGAAAAAGGAAGATACAAAACCATTAATAAAACAAGGTTACCTGCGTAGAAGTCGGATCGATATTATTCTATAAGCAGGATATTTCTCCAGGGTTAAGGACAAATACCTTCCTCAAAATGACAGCAGAAAAATATTCTTATGATAGTTCAAATCCAAAGGTTCGATAAATCTTTTTTTTTTTTAATTTTAATGTTTTATTTATTTCTGAGAGAGAGACAGCATGAGCAGGGGAGGGGCAGAGAGAGAGGGAGACACAGAATCTGAAGCAGGCTCCAGGCTCTGAGTTGTCAGCACAGAGCCTGACACGGGGCTTGAACCCACGAACCGTAAGATCATGACCTGAGCCAAAGTCGGACGCTTAACCGACTGAGCCACCCAGGCGCCCCTCGACAGATCTTTTAAATGTGTTTAAAAAAAAATTTTTTTAACATTTACTTATTTTTGAGGCAGAGTGTGAGCGGGGGAGGGTCAGAGAGAGAGGGAGACACCGAAGTTGAAACAGGCTCCAGGCTCCGAGCCGGCAGCACAGAGCCCAATGCGGGGCTTGAACTTGTGAACCACGAGATCATGACCTAAGCCGAAGTCAGATGGTTAACTGACTGAGCCACCCAGGTGCCCCTAAATGTATTTTAAAAGTAGTTCGTGGTTGGGGCACCTGGGTGGCTCAGTCGGTTAAGCGTCCGACTTTCACTTAGGTCATGATCTCGCAGTTCGTGGGTTCGAGCCCCGCGTCGGGCTCTGTGCTGACTGCCAGCTCGGAGCCTGGAGCCTGTTTCAGAGTCTGTGACTCCCTCTCTCTCTGGCCCTCCCCTGCTCACGCTGTCTCTCTCTCTCCTAGAAATAAATAAAAATATTAAAAAAAATTAAAAAAAAAAGTAGTTCGTGGTCATAGAAAGAAAGGAAGGGAGGGAGTGGGGGAGGGAGGAAACAAAAGTGCTCCTGCGGCTCAAGTAATATCTCTGGAACTTTTAGAATTGTTTTAAGGGCCTTAAGAACATTAATGTTTTTAACAGAAAACAATATGATAAGGGTGATGTTTCAAGTTAGACAGGAGAGCTACATAATAAATGGTACAGCTAGTAATCCGTCTGGAAAATAACCAAGCGAAAGTTCTAGCACATGTCAACGACTACCATAAATTCCAGGTGAGCTAACATGCTTTAAATACAGTAAGGAAAGTGAATATATAAAAAAATTTAGTAAAATATTTATACTATGTTAGGAGTGATAAAATATTCTAAAGGGAGAGAGGAAACCCAGAAACCATAATAGATGGGATACGTTTGACTATAGAAAACTTTAAAAATTTCTTTAGTGCAGAGATCATAAATGATATTAAGCTAACCGCCCCCCCCCAAAAAATTAACAACTACACACCAGGATGAAATACATGCAACATACATAGAAGCTAATACCTCTATTTTACAATGTGATCTAGGGCAGAAAAAAAAAAAGAAAAAAGAACTGATAGGAATCAGAGTCAGGAGGGAACGATGTAATTCACAGCAGATGTAAATGAGCAGTGAGCACCGTGAAAATACGTTCAGCTCATAATCGCTGATTAAAATGCAATTTCAACACGTGACACGGTACTTTTCCACGGAGTCAAATGACAACGACTCAAGGGACTAGTAACGCTCGGCAACAGAAGCGATAGGGACGTGGCCGTCTTCATTCCCCGCAGGGAAAGGGACATCTACCGCTACCAGGGGAGACGCAGCTGTCAGCCCAGAACCTCGTCAGGAATCCAGTCTCTAGACTGAAAAACGAGAAGAACGCACTTCAACTTCATGTCTGGCCCTGGAGGGATGTCCCTGGTGTGTACTGGGCATGTGAGAGCTCACTGTACTTGGAGTGACAGGACAGAGGGACAGGACAGTGTTCACGGATCTGTGCACATTTGTACACAAAAATGCCAACGCTGCTCCTTCAGGGATGGAAGGAGGTTGTGGTAAATAGCACTTACTTTCATAAGCCTTCGTCCCGTTAAAGCGGTTTTGTTTGTTTGTTTTTTTTAGGTAGGGTCCACGCCCAACATGGGGCTTGAACTCACAACTCACAACTTGGAGATCAAGAGTCCCATGCTCTACAGACTGAGTCAGACAGGAGCCCCTGTTGAAGCTGTTTTAAAGAAAATAGTGGTACCTTTCCTTTCTTCCACCTTAATCTAAAATGAGCTTTTTTTTTTTTAATGTTTGTTTACTTTGAGAGAGAGAACCTGGGCTCACGAGCAGTAGTGGGGTGGAGAGAGAGAATCCCAAGCAGGCTCCACACTGTCAGCACAGAGCCCAATAACGTGGGGCTCGAACTCACAACCTGGGAGATCACAACCTGGGAGATCACAACCTGGGCCGAGATCAAGAGTCGGATGATGCATGATCAAGAGTCAGATGCTAAACTGACTGACCCACCCAAGTGCCCCAAAATGAGCTATTCTTTTTTTTTTTAATCTTTTATTTTTGAGAGAGAGAGGGAGACAAAGTACAAGTAGGGAGGGGTACAGAGAGAGGAGATACAGAATCCAAAGCAGGCTCCAGGCTCTGAGCTGTCAGCACAGAGCCCAACATGGGGCTCAAACCCACAGATCGCGAGATCATGACCTGAGCCAAAGTCGGACACTTAACCTACTGAGCCACCCAGGTGCCCCCAAAGCGAGCTATTCTTAAACGTGATTTGGTCTAGCACAGAGGAGTGGGAGGGATGGGAGAGTCTGGAGATTCCACCTGTGATCCTGAACAAGGTGCTGGATTAGGTTATGAGAACGAATGTCTAGAGTACTGGGCAGGAAGCACAAAGTCCACCTAAACTAAACCCTATCAGGTAAGGATGAAACTTCTTGCTTGGCTTAGAAACATACTTGAAACAGTCTGGGATTTGTTCAGTCCTAACTGAACGAGGGATTCACATTTCTGAATCTAACAGCGGTGGGGAGTGCAAGCCCTTCAGAGCCCTCAGAGTCCACCCAGAATGCTCTGACTCATACGCCTGCAGCACTCCATAGAACCTTCCAGAAACCTTGCACAACAGGAAGTGGGTACTTCCAGGACAAGAACACAGGTATGGAGCCAATTTATCAATGAGAAGGCCACCTAGTGGGAAAGTTACTCTGAGTGAAGGAAAGTTCTGTGTTCTGATGAGGTTACTGAGACTGATCAAAAGGGGAGAAACTTAAAAGATGGGGAGAGGGCACTAAAGAAAGCTCCCCCCCCCACCCCCGGAGATAAGGTATCATGGCTCCTGCCTTTACCTTGTAGAAAGGGCATTCCAGCACTGAGGTTAGGAACAGTTGGGTCAGCTGTGCGAGGCTCAGTCTGTCCACATACGATTCTTCACCTGAAATAAGGAGGATTCCAGTTGTAGTCAAGTTTGAATTTCGGTTTGTGCAATGAAAGAAAGGACCATGAGGAATGTACGATGCACACTAATCACTCGGGAAGCAACGTGCTATTAAACGGCAGTCAGAAAAGAACCTGTCAGAGGTAATCATGCCTTCTTGCCTGCCAACAATGCCATCTCATTTAAACTTTTTTTTTTAAGTTTTATTTATTTTGACAGAGAGAGAGAGAGAAAGAGGGAGAGAGCGAGAGAGCGAGCATGAGCAGGAGAGGGGCAGAGAGAGAGGGAAAGACAGAATCCCAAGCAGGCTCCACGCTATCAGAACAGAGCCCAATGCGGAGTTGGAACTCATGAACGATGAGACCATGACCTGAACTGAACTCAAGAGTCGGATGCTGAACCAACTGAGCCCCCCAGGCGCCCCAATGCCATCCCATCTGAACTTCCAAGGAACTCAAGCTATAATGAAAAGTAACAGGTATGTTAAAATCAATGAGAATTTCCTTTAACCGTGGAGACCATTAACATCTGATGCATTTGGGTGGCCTTTAATTAAGGTGACCGACACCACCCTTTCTGAACACGGGAGTCTACAGTTGCTGTCATGGCTTCTCACATGTCGTCACAACTATCACCAACGCCACACCACGTCCCCACAAGACTCAGCTCAGCTGTGTGTGCCCCCTGGATAGTTTTCTCTGTGCAGTGCTCCATCATTCTTTAACTCCATGTACAACTCTGGCATCTGAAACAACATCTGAAACTTTGTATCTCCTCTTTAGGTTATTATGGAAGAGTAAACAAAGGCACCACACTGCTCAACTAAGAGGTAGATGTGGGACTTGAAAACATCACGCCTTCCTCAAAAAATTAACAACAGAATTCCCCTACGACCCAGCAATAGCACTGCTAGGAATTCACCCAAGGGACACAGGGGTGCTGATGCACAGGGGCACACGCACCCCACTGTTCATAGCAGCACTCTCAACAATAGCCAAATCACGGAAAGGGCCTAAGTGCCCATCAACTGACGAATGGATCAAGAAGATGTGGCTTATATACACATTCTGGCAATGAGAAAGAACGAAATCTGGCCATTTGTAGCAACGTGGATGGAACTCGAGGGTGTTAGGCTGAGCGAAATAAGTCAGGCAGAGAAGGACAGATACCATATGTTTGCACTCATAAGTGGAACAGGAGAAACTTAACAGAGGACCATGGGGGGAAGAAGGGGGAAAAATAGTGGGGGAGAGGGAGGGAGGCAAACCATGAGAGACTCTTGAATGCTGAGAACTGAGGGCTGATGGGGGTGGGGGGGAGGGGAAAGAAGGCGATGGGCATGGAGGAGGGCACTTGCTGGGATGAGCACGGGGTGTTAAATGGAAACCAACTTGACAATAAACTATGAAAGGTAACAAAAGAAAACATCACACCTTCAAGGATTAATTTCTCTACTCTCCAAGTTATAACCAACTCACCTTGCAGCTTCTGAAGAAAATGAGGGCTGAATATCTTTGCCATAAAGTTGACCGGATGGCATTCGATGAGCGAACATGAATGGAGAATCTTCAACAGTGTTTTGGGTGGGAAAGAATCGAAGTGCTTGAGTAACAGGTTCTCCAGCTTCCTAAATAAAGCAGAGGCATTTGGTGGCAAATAATTGAGTTTTCCAAACGGTTCGATTAACTCGGAAACCTGATGAAGCGAAAAATTCTCGGAGTGACCCTCTAAAGTTTCCGCCACGGCATCAAGGATGGGTTTTGAAAGGATCCGTTTCCTACTGCAGTACTCCATGGCCCTGCTGACGACCTCGGGGTCCAGAGTGAGACACAGCGAGGCCACATGCTGCTCGAGGGCCGCTGTAAAAAATCGGTCATTGTGCCCAAAGTATATGAAAGCCTCCAGGACTTTTGCGAGCTCTTCGTGAGTAAAACGAGGGATATGCCTCACGGCATATTTTCCCAATTTTATAACCAGAGGAAGTGCCTGAGTTTGATCAAGAGCCACGAGAGCAGTGAGCATCTGACTCATCAGTGTAGGACTCAAGCTGGAAACGACCGACAGAGAAAAGTTGTTAATCTTATTTAGAAACGGTTGGTGCTGGTCCGCTGTTTCGCTACAGGCTTGAAGGATTCTGTAAAGGGCCACAATATCGTCAAGGGCAAACGTTTCCAACTCTTCCCCTTGCAGTTGACACAGAATCAGTTCTAGTGTCTCACAGCCTGGACCCTGCAGTCTAATCAGACTTTCCCCGAGAATACAAAGCCTGTGGACCTCCAGGCCACCCCTCTGGACACGATGTCGGCTTTCTGCCACCAGGTTTTGTAACAAGCTACTCTGAGGGTCCACGTTCAACAGAGACAGAGCCTGTAATGCAGTCACCAAGGCAGCATCCGACAGCCCCGAAGAGTTCTGTTCAAACCGAAGGCATAAGGCCTGAAAGGCGCCATTCTCCAGGATTTCTTTCGGCAGCTTTTGATCACCATCTTTTTTCTCCACTTCCCAAATCCGTTGTAAGGCTCCTGCTGCCACAGTGTCAGGCAGCATTGGCAGCGTGCTTAGAAAATGTAACACTTCTTCCGAGGAAGCAAAGTCCTTGAGCCTCCCATAAAGCATCTGTTCATCCAGGCTTTTAGGATTTTGTTCAAGCCCGTGCCAATCACATGCCTGAGACAACACTGGCTCACCAAGCGGGTCAAGGGCGTTTCCATTTTGCGAATGGGACTTTTTACACCAGGCACGATGGATTCCGACCCCGAAAGGCTCGGGTGGCAGTGAAGGGAAGCACAGACTAGCACACTTCTTGCCCACCTTGTGAACGCGATTTACAGGATGACTTTTCAGAGCAGCCAGGGCTCCATGTTTCCGAAAATCGGCTAAATGGCAAAGGTTCCTCCGCAGGGTAATCAAAGCCATGCCATCAGAGCCTCAGATCTTCTTGATTTTATAACTAGAGAAAATAAAGAAATCACAGTCAAATATACTGAAAAAGTGACTCGCTCAACCACATGAATGCTTATGAAACTGAGGATGAGTACTCCTAAGAAATAACACACAAAAATTTCCCACTAAAACGCAAGCCCCCTAGATCAGCCCCTGCGCCCCACAGCTTAGAAACTGGCATCTACTGATGAGAATCACTATGTGTCTGTGCACTGTTGGGCCCCGTCTAGCTTAGCCCTCACAACACCACCATGAATTAAGTACCTCCAGTGTCACTTTACAGACGAGGAAAACTGAAGCCCTGAAAGGTTTTGGGTCCGGCGTCCGCAGCTCCGCAGTGGCGGTGCTGGGATCCCCCTCTGGCGGTGCGGATCCGAAACACACCTCCTCCAAGTTACATGCTGGTCGATGGGAGGCACTGCGTTTGGTTAAATATACTCAGAAGGAACGAGTAAAATGGCCAAAATTCGTCTAAGTCCACACGCAAAGCAAGATGAAAACCACGGTTAAGGAGCCCTGAGGCGCTGGTTTCCCCTCGGAGTGAAGACCTGGCCAGTCCCGAGGAGGAAAAGAATCGAGTTTGGCAAAGAGGGAAAAAGTAGGATTTAAAAGAAGCCAAAGGAGGCTGGCGTGTAAGGGAAGAAGGAGGGCGGTCCGTCCGGATCTAAACACCCCGTGTGAGATTTGGGAACACGAACGCGCGCGCCGGAGGGGACCGGGAGTCCCCTCCTTGGAATGAAAGGAACCCAGGGGCCGGGCGCCCCCAAACCCGAAGTCCAGGGCACCTGCGATAAAGCACCGGGCGCACGGCGGCGGCGGCAGCTGGAGAGGAGCAGGGGTGCCGGGGCAACACCGACTCCTCAGCGATGCCGCGGGCACATGCGCGCCGGGCCGGGGCACCTACCAAACTGGGACACCTACTGCGCTCACGCTGCCGGAGAACGAGAGGCAGCGAGGAGCCTGGAGCCTCGTGGGCCTCCGTACGCGCCTTCCGAAGCGCCGGGCGGCGTGGCGCATGCGCGGGGGCGAAGGCCACGCCCCGCGTCCGGAGCGCTGTGATTGGCACAGTCCCTTCCCGACCTCATTGGTCTCCGGCGCTGGCAGAGTGCGCAGGCGCGGGAGTAGGGCCCACGTTCCCACGCTCTCCCCGAGAGTCTCCGGCGGGTCACCCCCTGGTGAGCCCCTGGCGGTGGCTCTTTCCCAGGTGGGCATCCTGCCCAGCTCGAGTCCGGGGAAGGGCGCCCCAGGGTGGGCGAGGGCAGCGGCATCCGCGCCCCCACGTCCCTCTCCCGGCCGCGCTGGGCGCTCATGGGTCGTTCAGGAGCTCGGCCCCGCAGGGCGGAGGTCGGAAGGCGGGCTGCCCGGGGGCGGGGCCCGGGGGATGGGGGTGGCTCTGCCGCCTCCCGGGAGCGGGTCCCGGCCGCGTGGCGCCGTTGGCACGAGCGGCGTTGCACCCGCAGGGCGCCGTGGGTCCCCTTCCGTGGGTGTCTCTGTTCGGAGCACTTCTCCAGACCGGGGGTGTCGGGGGGGGGCGGGTGACGGGACTCGGGAATGCCCGGAGCGCGGCGCTGGGCGGCCCGCGGGGTCCGGCTGGCTCCCTTGCTGCTGCGCCGCCCGTGGGTTGCGGGGATCCGCCTCTCAGGAACGCGGGGCCGCGGCACCTCCTTTCTAAGTGGTGGTGGGCACGAAGGGTGCACCCTCTGAAGCGCCTGGGGCTGTGCCTGGCGCCCAGGACGTGCCCGAGGTCCCTAGCGTAGTGATGAGCGGTGACCGTTTCCATCACTACCTGCCCACAGTCCTCGCTGAATCCAAATGTGTATTATCTTCATAGTATTCACTTCTTCGTTCAGTTTATTGAGCACCTACTCTGTGCCAGGCGCTGTTCCTAAAGTCTAAACATTCCCTGGTTCTAAACATGTTCTAACCTGCTTCTTTTCATTTCTTTCGTGGCTTAATTTATCCTTGGATGCAACTGGTCAGAGGAGCATAAACCTGCTGATGGTTCATTCTCTAAAAGCCAAGATTAGATTTGGTAACATCAGTCCCTACAATTTGACAATCCCCCAGTGTTAGAGACTGGATGAGTGTGAGTGTTCCTTATTTTACTCCTGGTTTTCTCTTCAAGGAAAACATATAAACTAGCTTGAGTGGATTGGAAGTATTTTCTCATTTTGTACATAAAAAAGTGTATATGTGCACTCACATATATTTGGTATTGAATTAAATGGTAAAGCAGAAATACATAGATTAACTTTAGTACTATGATTAGTTTATTTGGCATTAGGATCATGTAGAAACAGAAACCTAAACTTTCATTGGGATATTCATGTTTTCTAATATAAATTTTTTTTTTAATGTTTTTCAGAGAGTGAGACAGAGTACAAGCGGGGGGAGGGGCAGAGACGGAGCAGGAGACACAGAATCTGAAACAGGCTCCAGGCTCTGAGCTGTCAGCACAGATCCCAACCTCGGGAACGGTGAGATCATGACCTGAGCCCAAGTCGGACACTTAACTGAGCCACCCAGATGAGTTGAAAACCTTGCCTAAAGTTCTGTAGTTTTGAATGATGGACCCTGGATTCAGGCCCAAGTAGCCTGACCCCAGAATCTGATTTCTGAGCCTTGGATTTAAAGCTTTACTCATGATTTGATGAACTGTCTTTTGAAGACTCATTGAGAATGAACGCTAACAGATTTAGAGAAGTCTATTTCATGTGATGCGTTGATACTGTGGGAATCTTCAAAAAGATTGTGAGGGAGAATTAATACCTGTGTGTGCTACTTAATTAAAAAGAAAATCCCTCTTTTCTGTTTTTTTTTCCAGTGTACCTGTTATAGCTGAAGCATATGCTTTGAAGGGATGAGAAGGTTTTTGTTGCTGTATGCGACGCAGCAGGGACAGGCGAAGGCCATCGCAGAGGAAATCTTTGAAAAAGCATTTGCGCATGGATTTTCTGCAGATCTTCACTGTATCAGTGAGTCAGATAAGGTAAGCGGTTCCTCATGTGGTTTTTACCATCTTTTGTGCCTGCAGTATTTTGGTTGGGAGGGAACTGTAAAACAGCAAAGTGAGATGCTGAAAGCCACCGTAATCCTTTTCTCCCCTCCAGCATTCAGAAATTTATTTTATCAACTATATTGTAAGATTTCTGCCATTTTTTTTTTTTAACATATAAGTGTATGTTTGAATTAGACTGAACGGTCCCCAACACAGAAGTAAGTGTCTATTAACTGCAAGCAGAAGTCGTCATGCTTGCCTTGGTTCTCACGGGGTGGCTATGCCGACAAATGAGATGTGTGTTTGGGTGCATGTGTGTGCTTTCCAACTCGCCAATCCCACTGCTTCAAAATAAAGGCTTGCTGTTCATGTCAGAGTTCCTGCAAGTGAAGGGCCGTGGAATTTTTTTTTTTAGTTTATTTTTGAGAGAGAGAGCAAGGGCATACACTCCTGCACACAAGTGGGGGTGGGGGTGGGGGTGGGAGTGGGAGGAGCAGAGAGAGAGGGAGACACAGAAACTGAAGCAGGCTCCAGGCTCTGAGTTGTCAGCACACGGCCCGCGAGATCATGACCTCGGCCCAAGTCAGATGCTCAACTGACAGAGTCCCCCAGGAGCCCCAAGGACCATGTAATTCTTTTGTGGAATAAAACTTAGAGTAGAAGTGGAAGGATCTAGAGAAGATGGGGCTTCTTTAGGTCAAGGACCGCTTATTTTTTACGTTCAGTCTCTACAGAAATTCTTAGGTCTTGTAAGATCATAGCACACCTGTATTCTTCTTTCAGTTTGGGGGATGGAGCCCTCCAGATTTTACGGTTTTATACGGTCTGGTGCAGAGCAACTACCAGCTTTTATACAAGCACACGATGATGTGCCAGCTATAACGAGTCAAATGTAGTGTAGTACTTTACAAATTACCCTGCCAGTACACTCACTCAAGTTCATGAGCTCCTCTGTCCTTTCCCACATCTCTAGTTCAGAAGACTAGACTGTCCCCAGCACACATGAATTATAAACCTGCTCGTAGGAGAAGCACCTGGTTCCTTAATGTGGGAGGCCAAGGTGACCCCACATGTCAGTCACCCGACAGGGATCCTGGAGGACACCGCCGGTCAGCAGGTTCTGTGATCCTATGGTTACTTCAGGGCTGGCGTTGCATGTGCCATGTGATAGGACATAATCTGAGTCTGTTACTACAGACACAACCAAAGTTGTCCGCACCATGTAACTAGCCCGGATTTGGCCCCCAGGGGTCGCCTCACCATCTAAATCCGCGGCTACTTGAAAAGTGGGTGAGTCGTACTGTTCTTATTTTAGTGCCGTGTTAGTCATCGGTGCTGTCCCAGCTGATTGACTTCTCCAGCTGTTCCTGATCCAGGTTCAAACAGATAGCTTTCTACTTTCTGGGTCGTGGTCGTCCTTTTCAAGGTGGAGTCAGCTTAACAGAGTATGGAAGTTTAGTACACAATTTATGCCGTGTCCTGTAAGCATTCAACCGCCTGGTAAAACGGTGCCTCAGATCCTGTGTCCCCCTGAGAAATAAGTGGCTTCCCTTGAAGCGGCTTTGATGAATCACATGCGCAGTAGAGCTCATGGAGTCCTCATAAATAGAGATGCCGAAGTGCTCTTCTTGGAATATTTAAATTTAGGTGAGAATTAGGATGAAGAAACGCGGATGAGCTCGGTTTACCACTGACACTCTTCCCAGCTCCCCAGACCCCTGAGTTAGCCAGGCTCCCTGGCGTCTGAGGAGTAGGACGCACACCTTCCCCACCTTGACCGGGCTCCGCGCCCTCCACCGTTAAGCCACGCACAGCGCAGGTGACTGGTTCAGGAGACTAAGCCGGCTGCCTGGCCGGCGCGGTAAGTCGAAACTGCATACTTCCGTAGATCCCTAACACGCCTCCCTCATCTTCTAGTACGATCTAAAAACCGAGACAGCACCTCTCGTTGTCGTCGTTTCTACCACGGGCACGGGCGACCCACCCGACACTGCTCGCAAGTTCGTTAAGAAAATCCAGGACAAGGCGCTGCCGGCGGATTTCTTTGCACACCTGCGGTATGGATTGCTAGGTACGGACCATGCTTTCGTTCTGTCTCGCCTCAGTTATTACGGGTTTGAATTCTGGTATCTGAACGTACCCTTCAAAACCATGATGTATAGTTATTGAGGGTTTTCTTGTTTTGTTTTGTTTGTTTCATAGAAGCGTGAAAAACACCGAAGTGTAAGTATCGTACTGCATTCTCCATACACCTCCCCTGGCTTCACCCCACAGCAGCGTGTCTATGGAGCCAGGGGCCATTTTCAGACTATCAGCAGCTGGTCCCCATCCTGGACTTGGTTAAAAATAAACACAGTCCCTGAAGGAGCAACTCTGAATGCTGTTTCATTTGTTTTTCTGTTTTTGTTTTTAAAACAGGCTCCCAGGTCGATCTGATTTCCCTAGGAATCACTCTCCTAGTATGATTTCTAGTCTCGGCCACATTTTAGGATCAGCAAGGGGGGGTTTCTTTGAATTCTGTTACCTGGGTCGCCACCCCCCATGATTCTAACCTAACTGTTTGGAGGTGGAGCCCTGGCACCTGTGGTCTGGAACAGCTCCCAGGTGATTCTAACCTGTATCCCAGGTTAGGAAACACGGGCGTAAGGCTCTGTAAAGCACAGGTTAAAAAACCCAAGAGAAAGTATCCGAAAGACCAGCTCAGCAAGATAGGACACCAGAGAGAGAATTCAGAGGCCGTGTTCCTGGCCTGTGTCTGTATTGTTCTCTGAATGCTCTTTGAGAATTATTTTGGGGAGGGTATCTCATAAAGGTGGATTACACTAAGTGACTGATGAGAAATTTGAGGTTATGACACTGACTTATTCGAATAAGAAGGTATTTTAGAGGATTTACGGTTTTTTATTCAAGTTTTTCTAATTTCTTTTCAAGAATGAACACGTGTTGCATTAAAAAAAGTTCCTCAAAAAAAAAAAGTATAGACTGAAGCCCTTCTAACCACTCCAGTCATTCCTAGGCCATTTATGCCCCCGCCCCCAAAGCTTCCCGTTCTTGTTGGGAACGTCCAGGGAGATGATTAAGTGAGAAATCGACCATTTTAATTTCAAACCAAGTATGAAAATCTTAGTCCACCTTCTTACCAGGAAACATAGAAGCAGCCCCTAACTTACCTCGCACAGAAACGTGGCAAATGATTATTTAGTACCTGTCTGTGCTCTAGGTTAGGGGTCAGTACAATCAGTAAAGGGCCAGCTGGTAAATGTTTTGGGCTTTGTGGACCAAGTGTTCTTTATGACAGCTCCTTACCTCTGCTGTTGTGGCTTGACTGCCACCGTAAACGCCATGTGAACAGATGGACTTGGCTGTGTTCCAGCACAGCTTTACGCAAAGACAGCGAGTGGTGCTTGGCCCACAGGCTGCAGTTTGCAGACCTCTCACTAGATCAGAAAAGTCTGCAAAGACAGATGTTAGGGTTTAAAAAAAAACTTTTAATGTTTTTTATTTATTTCTGAGAGAGAGAGCGTGAGCAGGAGAGGGTCAGAGAGAGAGAGGGAGACACAGAATCTGAAACAGGCTCCAGGCTCTGAGCTGTCAGCACAGAGCCCGACACAAGGCTCGAACCCACGAACCATGAGATCATGACCTGAGCTGAAGTCAGACACTTAACCGACTGAGCCACCCAGGCGCCCCAGATGTTAACGACTTTTAAACTCATCTAATTCTTGCTTTAAGGTTTCCACATTAAAAAAAATTTTTTTAATGTTTATTTATTTTTGAGAGACTGTGAGTTAGGGAGGGGCAGAGAGAGAGAGAGAGACACACAGAATCCAAAACAGGCTCCAGGCTCTGAGCTAGCTGTCAGCACAGACTCATGGAAACAAAAATGTGAAAATATTTTGTTAACAGTGACCAAGATGTATTCATTTTTGTTTCAATGCGTCTGATACTTCACCATTGTAAGAATGGAGACAGTTATTTGTATACTTAGTATTACTCAACAAAAACCTCAGAAAATGTCAAGCTATACTTTATTTGTTAATCAGTATATGGACTGTTGTTTAAGTATTTTATTTGTTCTGTGTATCTTCTTTAAATCTGACTGTGCACTAATAACCTGTCTGGGCTCTTAGGGCTGGGAGATTCCGAATACACGTACTTCTGTAACGGCGGGAAAATCATCGATAAGCGACTTCAGGAGCTTGGTGCCCGGCATTTCTACGACACTGGACATGCAGATGACTGTGTGGGGTAAGGGCATCGTGCTTCTTGTCTGCTCCTTCCACGCAGCCCTGCTTGGTACTTGATCCAAGGCTGGGAGTTTCTGAAATGTGGTGACTTTTGATTTAGCACTGAAGTTTTTATTTTGAAAGCACTACTTCCGTTTTCTCAGCTTTTTTTGCTCAAGGACCAGAGATCAGCCCGAGCTTGATTTATGTATCTTGTGGACTTGAAGCTCCTCACCCATCTCAGTACCTGCTAATGGGAGAAATTGGGGAAGATGCCCCGGTACGGTTATCTTTATCTTGAAGTGTGTACGTCTTTGTCAGGGTCCACATTTTCTTTAGGAACTCTGATAGCACGCGTGCTTGCTTCTCTGCTGCGCACACAGGGGTCACTGCATGCAGGTCCTCACGTGGCGGGCGCCCAGCAGGCCACGCGTCACCAGCAGGGAGCACACACAGACCAGAGGCCTTCCCGGCTCGCTGTGTGCCTGGGCAATCTCCCTTACCATCTTAATGGCCATTTGGCACCATGCCAGCTGGAAACAGAATCCGTATTTCTTTTAGATTATTCTCATTTTTACAATTCAGTATTTCACCCTATATGCTGCCTCTCAAATCCCCTTAATGTGTTTATTTAAAGATCTCATAGATACCATGCTCCACCTTAGTTTGTCATAGCCTTTGGCTATTTTAGCCAGATAACATCATACCCACTTGATTTTTTCCTACTCAGTGCATATATTAAATTCTCACTCCCTTGATTTTTCTTTAGGAATATTGACAAGTTCAGCAAATGTCTTGCTTTTCTGCATAGCACCACCTCGCACGAGTGTGCTGGACACACTTCTCTCCACGTGACCTGCCCTTCAGGTCCACTTCCTCCATCATTTTCTGCAGCTACAACCCTGTGGGTGTTTCCAAATCCCAGCACCCACGTCCTTGGTTGTGACAGAGCTCGACCGTGTTGCCTTCTGTGTTCACCTTTTAGCTTTAACCTTTATATTGATTTTTTTGTTTGTGTGTGGGGGTGTGTTTGCCAGAATCCAGTTGCCATTAAGTGTTGGTCTCATATGAGCCATTTACTTGCTGATTTCTTATGGAACCCATGGGGCCTTTCACTGAGTCCATATTTTACTTCCGGTCAGGGGCTTTGTTTCCCTGCTCCTTTCCTGGATCGAGTGTTAAAGTTCTTAACTGTAATGTCATCAGCCTGCATCTCTTAAATTTTTAACCTGACTACCTCACTTGAATACACCTCTTCTAAAATTGTTTTCAAGAAGATACCCTGGCTTAGTGTACCCACCGCCACACTCTGGGGTTCAGAATGCAGAGCGGGGTCCAGGTCCCTGCGTCCACGTCCAGGACTGCCTGCCCCCTCCAGTGACTGAAACTTTGGTCACATTACGTCCCCTTTTCGTGCTTCTGTCTCTGCCTCTGGGAACTGGAAACTAATGGTGTGTGTTGTGGAAAGTTTCGGGGAGGAATACATCATGAGCTGACACAGGCTGTTCTCTTAGAAGAGTGTCTCCCTCGTAGTCAGTGCTCTGCGGACATTAGCCCTTCCACTGCGCTGCTACCGGCTCGATGTCTGAGCTGTGAGAGCGGCGTGGTAGACGGAGCTGCTGTGTTGAACTCCATAGTTTTACGTACTTGCTTTGCCAAAGGCTCTGATGGACGGATGTGGACCTTGGAACCAAATGTTGAGCTGTTTGCTGTGAGCACCTAACGAATTTGCTGAGATTCTAGCCAGAGTCCTAATAAGACAGAGGCTGAATGGGCCTTCTCCTGTCATTTAACTTTATGAATTAGAATTTAGTTGATAACGGCCTTTGAGTTGTGAATAAAAACAAGAAAGAGGTAATTTCCAAGGTTTAGATGCACTGTGTCTTATCCATTCATTCTTCTTAAAGTTTCTCAGCTCAGAGAATGTATGGGATGTTACTGTTGACTTACCCTACTTTGTTTATTGGTATGTGTACTACCACATTTTATTTTATTTAAAAAAATTTGTTTTAATGTTTATTTTCGAGAGACAGAGTGTGAGTCGGGGAGGGGCAGAGAGAGAGAGAGAGAGAGAGAGACACAGAATCTGAAGCAGGCTCCAGGCTCTGAGCAGTCAGCACAAAGCCCGACACGGGGCTCGAACCCACAAGCTATGAGATCATGACCTGAGCCGAAGTCAGAGGCTTAACCGACTGAGCCACCCAGGCGCCCCCGTACACTACCATGTTTTAAAACATACCTATGATTCATTCAACTTTCCTAAAGTGTTATTAGTTTTTTCCCTTTATGTTCACACTTGGGCAAACTTTATTAAAAATATTTGGAACCAGTTGAAGATTTGAACTATTCATACTTAGTCAAAATGGCATTAATCTGGAGTGATTTCATGGTGATATTCTAATCTCTGGGTGAAAAACAGAAAGGTCAGTAAATTAGCTAGGTGAAAAAATGAAGTTGTATTTGATATATATAATTGGATTTTGGGTGAGAAGCCTGAGAATTTAGCATGCCTTTTTGAAATGACAACTTCTTAAAATAAAGATCACCACCTATATTTTAGTAGGTTAAGAGCAATCCCATTGCTCTTACTTACTACTAAAATGGCTTCATTCTGTTCAGACCTTTTATATGCTTTGTTTGTGGCTGAAGTGTTAATGAACAACACAAAATAGTGTTGTTTTTAACTTGATCATGTGTATATTTCATATTCTGGACCATTGTTATGTCTGGTGTTTTTGAACACTGCATAGCGCTCAGCCAATAGACTGCCGTTGTCCCAATATTATATATTTAAGTGGAGAATTTAGGCATTTATTGTATTTTTTCCTTTTTTATTGTCACAATCCAGTTTAGAACTTGTGGTTGAGCCGTGGATTGACGGACTCTGGGCTGCCCTCACGAAGCATTTTACGTCCAGTAGAGGAAAAGAGACGAACGGAACTCTCCAGATAGCCTCAAATGCGTCCCAGAGGATGGATCCTGTGAAACCGGAATTATTACACATTGAATCCCAAGTTGAACTTCTGAGATTGGCTGATTCAGGCAGAACGGATTCTGAGGTTCAGGAACAGAATGTAGTGAACAGAGGTCAATCCAGTGCTCTGATCGCCGAGTCCAAGCCCTCACTTACCCACTCGATACCCCCACTGTCCCAGGCGTCACTGAACATTCCTGCCCTTCCACCAGAATATTTGCAGGTGCATCTGCAGGAGTCTCTGGGCCAGGTAAGCAGCTTTACTGTGCTCTTCTTGCCGTGGGATGTCAACTCACTGAGGGGGTTCGCTTTGCTGCTGCTACAGGACAACAGAGGTCAGCAGACCGTGGCTTGCTGGCGACATGTGATATGTCACCTGTCCCCGAAGTCGAGCTTTGCTGGAACACAGGCCTGTGCTTCCATTCCCCCGTGGCCGGGGCGGCTTCTGCAGGAGGAGGCAGGGCAGCGTGGGTACCCAACGCGCAAAGCCCGGCCCCTTAGGAGAAAGTTTGCCGGGCGTTGCAGACGCATTTGTGTCATAACGTTGCTCTGTCGTTGAAGCAGCAAATAGTTAAGAGCTCAGTTTTTCTGTTACTTTGGAGAATTCTTTGTTCTGGGCACTCAGGAAATGACCGTAGCAGCTACACTGAAAGCACGTATTTCCAGCACAGTCTCCTTTCCAGCCTGGTTTTCTGTGCCTTAGGAGGCTTCACTTTGGAGATTAGTTGGCTTGGTAACGTCTTAGAAATGTGCTTTTGCCTATATCAAGTCATTTTCTTTTGTCAAGTGTGTTTTTCCTTTCAACAGAGTAGTGACTCTAAGGTAGTCTGTCAATATGGGGGCGCCTGGGTGGCTCAGTCAGTCGGGTTTCCAACTCTTGATTTATGCTCAGGTCTTGATCTCATGGTTCTCGAGATTGAGCCCCGCATTGGGCTCCGTGCTGATGGCCTAGAGCCTGCTTGGGATTCTCTCTCTCCCTCTCTCCCCCTCTCCCCTCCCCTTCTCTCCCCCTCCCTCTCCCCCTCTGTCTCTCCCTCTCTGTCCTTCCCTTGCTTATACGAGTATGTTCTTTTGCTGTGTCTCTCAGTATAAATAAATAAACCTAAAAAAATAGTCTATGTAAATTTTGAGCATTAAGTGGGATAATGTCTAGTTTTTCCTCACTCGTCTTCTGAGATGCCTGCTATCCCTTCCCACTGAAAGCCAGTCTATCCTGCAGAGCCACCCCTGTCTTAACAGCGGCTGATTGTGGAGTTCCCCGCAGGCTTTCTCACATAAACCACACCCTCAGTGCAGCCATCCTGATTTCTCCTTTCTTGATGTTTTTATTTATTTAGATTTTTTTGGCGTGGGTGGAGAGAGGGCACACATGGGAGAGAGGGGCCGAGGGAGAGAGAGAGAAAAAAATCTCAGGTCAGGTCCACACCCAGTGCAGAGCCAGACGCAGGGCTTAGGATTCGATCACCCGACCCTGAGGTCATGACCTGAGCCGAAATCCAAGAGTCGGGACACCTAATCGACAGCCTCCCAGGCGCCCCTTGATTTCTTAATTTTATTGAAGTAATTTAAATACGACTTTCCAGCGTATTAGAACTGTTTTCTGACACCCGACGTGATCGTGGTTTTTGAGCCTTTGCAGTGTCTTCCTAAAGCATACGGAGGAACAAGTGTGTGTGCGCGTGTAAACAGCTGTCGGGTGTCTTCAGTTTACGCCTGATGATCGTGCAAAGTGTTGAGTGCGGTGATTCCAGCAGGTGCACGTTTGTCAGGCTGGGAGCAGACACGAGTGCCCCTAGTGAACCTGGCGCGCTGCGGGCACAGGGCTGCCTGGCAGAGGCGTGTGGGCAGGACTGCTCTGACCGGGCGCTGCAGCAGGACAATCTCAGGAGGCTTCTGTCACAGGAGGCGTCGGCAAACAGGTGTCAGTGGCTGGGAGTGAGGTTGATTCTTAAGATGTCAACCAGCTAAGCGATACTGGTGTACCTTTGCTCGGAGCATACGAGTAGAGGAGAAGGGGCCGGACAGGGATTGATTTTCAGGCTCCCTCCCGGGGGCGTCACGCCAGGGAACCAGGGAGGGGAGCGGAGCGCTGTCTTCTGATGCGGGCCGCCGGCGTCTCGGCAGCCCTGCCCCGTTCCGTGTAGACTGGGCTCCCCTGCCCTCGTAGCCGTGTGGTCAGCACGTTTCTGGCTCTGGAGGCTGCCACCAGGGCATCAAAGCCAGTGTCCTGGGGTAGTGCTCCCGGTTAGCAAGACTTCTCTGTCCAGGGTTATGTTCTACCCTCCTTGGCCCAGGCCTCGGCATTCCGGCCCATGCATCCTCTGTGGGCTTCTGCTGGTGCTGCGTTCTGCACTTTCCTCAGAATGTAAGCCCGTGCCTGCCGTAGCTGGCCCCTCACGTCTGCAGCCTGGTGCTGTGACTCAGCCCTCACCGGCCGGGTGCTGTGACTTGGCCCTCACCGGCCGGGTGCTGTGACTTGGCCCCCACCGGCCGGGTGCTGTGACTTGCTGTCTCCTTGGAGAGAGGGGGACAGACGCGGGAGTGGGCGCAGTGAGAAATAGGCTGTGAAGAATTCCAGCACGGGCCCCAGCCAGTCCCAGAGCTGGGATGGCCCTTCAGAGTTGGCTAGAGTTGGGGCAGAGGGGCTGGGCCCTTATAGTCATTGATCAGGCATTGCACATGGGCTGCCTTTGAAAGGGGGCGTGGCCAAAGAATGCTGAGGTCACTCTCCGGGGTGACCATGGGTGAGCTGAGGGCCAGCTGCTGACCACTCCCAGCAGCCCTGCTGAAGGCTGCCTCAGGCCGGGGCTTCTCCCGGTGGCCCTTGGTCATGACTGTGAGGCTCTGAGCTCTGACCCTTTTCCCAGTGTTCCCACCAGCCATTTATCTGGGGTTAACTGACTAGCATTTGGTAAGTTTCTGTCTTCAAAAGAGATTAGGGGCATCAAGTTAGGAAAGGAGTGGAAATAGTACAACAAATTGGGTTTCTTTGCAGTTTCCTAAGGCCTGGGCTAGCTAATACAGGAGCCGCTAGCTGTGCGTGGCCACTTAACATTTAAATAAGTGGAAATGAGAATTCAGTTTCTGAGGCTCCTGTGTTGACCAGGGCAGGTAGGGAACATTCCCATTGTCAGTGCCCAGCAGGCTGAGGTTCTGAGCGTAAACATATGTTACTTTCCTTTACGCTCTCCTTCCTGAAATCATGCATGCACACTGTGTCCTTTTGCAAAGTTTCTTTGGAAGACTATGAGACCTTTACGCAAAAATGCTGGTATCTGATATTTTCAGTATATATATCCCAGAATTTTACCTAATAACCAAGGAGTTTAAGATCCGAATGAGCTATTTCTTCTGAAGGATCGAGAGGCAAATGTCTGTAGCCACTTGCCTTAGAAACAAACTCCTAAACAGCTCGGAAGTTTTCCAAGATCCTATCGATCTTTCCTAGTCACTAAGGGAAGCAATGGCAGGTAAAATGGGAGCTCGCGTCTTGCGTTCCATAATATGTTATCACATTTGTTTCCCAAGGAGGAGAGCCAAGCATCTGTGACTTCGGTGGATCCAGTTTTTCAAGTTCCAATTTCAAAGGCGATTCAGCTGACTACGAATGATGCCATAAAAACCACTCTTCTGGTGGAACTGGACATCTCTGTAAGTTACAGAATCTGCCTCTGCGCCTGTCTGCTGTCGAGAGGCTGGTGGTCCCCACGCTCGGGAAGGAGGCGAGTCTCTGACCGGACATCGGCCTGTTTTTTCTTGACCCCTCGTGTTTTCTCCCCGGTTTTTTCCCCACAGGGTGCAGGAAGCGGGCTAAAATGAGGAGGGAGGGGCCTGGGAGGTGGCTCGATTTGAGAGGATAGTGTCGCCGCCTCACTCAGGAAGCCGTGGAAGGGTCAGAGCGCGTTTCCTGTTGGAGAAGAGCCCCAAGACAGGCCGCAGGGCGCCTGAGGGTGGTTGGCGGCGGGAAGCAGAGCTCAGACCAGCTCGGCAGAGATGGCTCTAGTCCTTGGCGTGGTGGGTCTTGCGCCTTGAGAACTGGGCAAAGCCTGGAGCCCCCCGGAAAGACGATCATAAACATTCTCGTGGAGTTTCAGGGCACGGGCTGCCTCTCCCAGCTCCATCCTCGAGCCGCTGCCCAGCCCCCGCCCCAGGCCGCTGGCCCCTGGTGACATCAGTGCCAGAGGCCCCAGAGCCACTCAGCCGTGTGGCTGATGGTGATCCTGGGAAGCGGGTTGTCCTTTTAGAAAAGGGTGTCAGGGCCGTCTGTAGGTTTCATTCAACTTGTGATAGGAAGAAATGACAAGCATCAAAACTGGATAGCTGTGCTTGCATACCGTTGAGTACTTTCCCTTTCCTTTGCAAGTGTTAAATATTCTGCATATAGCAAAACATTGTCTTTTTTTATTCTGTTTTACACTCGTCATGAAACGGAGGGTGGGCCACTCCCGGGAGTGTGAGCACGTGTGGTCAGAGGCTCTCCGGGTCTTGCTCTCGTTCCATGTCCCTCTGTAAATAGCCGTGTGGGGGAAGGTGGCCCCTCCAGCCTGTGTTCGTTCACAGCAGCGAGCAGGGTCTGTGACGTCCGTGCTCAGTAAGGAAGAAGTAAAGTGTCTCTCCTACCCCTCTCCTTCCCCGAAAGAAAACCTAAAGCAAGGAAATCGAGGACCACTGCAGACAGCCTCAAGAGGTTTCTCTTGCTCATAATGTGCGTGTGTTTCCATGAGATGGATTTTTACATTTGTTAGTGAAACGTTTTTAATCAAGGCACCTTAACTGAGAGAGGTTTTAACGTTGTAAAGAGTACTCAAATGGTAGAAACAAAATATTGGATAACTATGGAAGTTTTTTCTTTAAAGTAACTCCTGGGGCCCCTGGCTGGCTCATTCTGTGGTGCATCTGCCTCTTGATCTTGGAGTTGTGAGTTTGAGCCCCATGCTGGGTATATAGATGACTTTAAAATTTTAAAAAAAAGTAACTTCTAATAAAAGTAGGTTTGTTCGGTTGGGCTTATTTTTTGAAGTTAGAATCATTTTATTTCTAGTTCATATTTTGAAATGATGACACAATAGAAAACGCATTTTTTTTAGCCCGCAGCTCAAACTCTTAACTCATATGTGCTTTTTTTTCTTTTCTTCCTTGTTGGTTCTTCCCTTTTCTTCCTTGTTGGTTCTTCCCTAGAAAACAGATTTTTCCTATCAGCCTGGAGATGCCTTCAACGTGATCTGTCCCAACAGCGATACCGAGGTTCAAAACCTGCTCCAGAGCCTGCAGCTCACGGACAGAAGAGAACACCGTGTCGTCTTGGGAATTAAGGCAGACACCAAGAAGAAAGGTACAGCCCCGATCTCTTATTTCTTAACCTGTCGTCGGACCAACGGACAGGAGGTGACCAGTACAAGGCCCTCCTTCCCGAACCTGTGTGACGGCTGCACAGGCGGCCTGTGGCCTGGCGCCCCAGTCAGCGGGCGGACACGGATGCACTGGCCTGCCGGTTTCTTAACTTTTACACCAGTGACACTCTGTGACACGGCATGGGGTGGTCATGCACTTGGTGCTTACTCGGACCTGCTGGGCAGGGCACGCGAGTGTGCCCGAGTCTGGGAGAAGCCGGTGGGTAGGCTGTGCTCATCTGTTTGTTGGCTTCTTGCAGTGGCATTATTTCGTTGTGGAGCTCGTCAAGAGCGTCCCGCAGTAAGCTTTTATCATCCGGGCCTTTCCAAGGTTTTCTTATAAGCGTTTCTCATGGCATGTTTATTGCTTCTTTAGTGTATAAAAATAGTTTTCATAATTAAAGGGCATTAGTTTTGTTTTTTTTTTAGTTTCCTGCCTAGAATCTTGAAATGGAGTTCCATCAGTTCTAAAATTCTTTTTGAGAAAAATATGCATTGTTAATGGACAAGAGCCGTATTTTGCGGGGGGGGGGGAGTTTTGGTCCTTGGTTTTGGATAATTTCCCTCTTGTTTGGTATCCCTCGATTTGGTAGGTGTGGCTAATGATACTATTGAATTGATACTTCTTTTATTGATTTATGTTTGTTAAGTGGGTATTTTCCCCTGTATTTTGGGAAATATCTTGTACTGGATAAACTTTGCCACAAATCGCACTGTACCTTGCTAGCGCAATAACGTAAAGACTACGGTTAATTGTGTTTTTGAGAATGCAAAACCATTTTACTCTTTATTTTTCATGTCACGACTTCTCTCCTGTCTACGTGAAAAGGAGCGGCCATACCCCAACACATACCTGAGGGACGTTCTCTCCAGTTCATTCTCACCTGGTGCCTTGAAATACGAGCAGTTCCAAAGAAGGTACTTCTCCTTGGGTAACTATTCAAAAGTATACTTAGCGGTGTGTAAGATCCATTAAATCTGGTATCTGTCCTTGAAAGACTTAGAAGATACAGCCTTCAGAGCATGTTTTCAAGAGTTTCCAGGCCTGTGTGGTATCTTTGCAGTTGGGTTGTGCTTATATTGAAATTTTGTGTTTTCTGGTGAAATGAGACTTTTAAAGGAGAGCATTTTCTTCTTCTTAGCAGCCATTTACTTGACGTGACACGTTAATCAATGATTACGGTGACCCCAAATGACCTTGTGTTGTCCAAGTGCACACGGACCCTTTCCCTAACTGACGACAGGAAGCTTATGAGGGTGCAGGCTTCTCCCCCTACTCGCCGCCTGTTTAATGTTAGGATCTCTTCCGGGTAGAAAGCACGTGGTCAGCTACTGCTAAATCAGAATGAAAGGATTCAGGTAGGTGACTGATGTTTAGATGAATGTGCAGAGAGATCGGTCCACTAGATGTCAGCAGGATGCCGGCAGCTGCTTTGTAGAAGATGCTTGTACCTGATTTCTTCTAACCACATCCCTAAACAGGTCTGAATGGGGAGGGTTTGCCCACTGGGCCTCCCGGTGAGCATGGATGGAGCTGCCCTCCACAGGGCCGTTTCTCTTCTCTGTCGTATTCGTTGTTTGTTGCATGCACCCTTTGGGGAAGCAAACTCCTTTAGAGAGAGGCTCGGCCCTGGATGTAATTTGAGTACATTTAGAACTCGCTGTTGATTAAATACGGTACGTTTTACAATTTTAGTTCAGCTCTACCATTCCATAAAGAGTATTTGTGTAAGCATATTTTTCCTTACTATAAAAGTAACACACTCATGGCAAAAATTCTGGACACAAAAATGAGTGACTCGGGACGCAGAAGCCCTTTAGAATCAAACTCTGAGTCAACACTGGATTTTGTGACACTAAGAAACAAACAGGGTCCTCCCGTCTGTTGTGTCTCATGCCTTCTTTACCTGAGTAGAACTCAGGAGTTCGCATAGCCCGGCGTGCAAAGGTGCCTTACCCCAGACCCGTGCAGGGACGCGGGGTGCTCCTTCACCCCATGTGGTTCCCGAGTGCTCCATCTGCATGTCGCCCTGGGCCTGGCCTTGTGAAGAAGGCTTGCAGGTCGTTAGTCTCAGCTCCTGAGCTGAGCCACTGGACACACGTGACCCCTCACGGGAGGAGGGAGCTCGGCCTCCCTGTTGGGGGGTCCAGGACATGAGGTGCTCGAGCCGTGGGATGACACGTAGGAGCGCCTGGTAGCATGTCACTAAGCACTGGGTGCAGCTGACTCGCTTACCTGCTTTGTCCCTAAGGAACCCTTGAGTGGTGACACTGCCATTTACCGGCTGTGTGTCACGTAAGAGTGATCTGCGTGTGTCATGTTCGGAATACATGGAAGCCGGAAGTCGTTATTAGCAAGTTTGGTTTTTCATCTGGCAGTTTGGACATGGCTGTGTCTTTGAGGCTTGGGATTCGGGATGTTCTTGCTTTCCTTCCTTCGTGTATATTCTCCTTTTTTCAGTGAGTCTGAGGTGACTCAGAGAGTCCGTGTGCAGGAGGAGGCTTCCCGAGGCTCTGGCCAGCCCGTCTCCTCAGCCTCTGTCCCACGTCCGCATGTCCCTGCATGCACAGTGGATACCGCAGGGCCCTGGGGAGCGAGCTTTTGCTCAGGCCTGCGTTTGGGGCCACGCTGGGTGCCGGAGCCCCTGGCGAGATGGTTAGCTACTGCGCTCTCAGCGCCAGGGGGCCCTTAGGGCAGAGGAGGGGTCATGCCCATGCTTCTTGTATGAAGGACTCCCCGGTTGTCACAGGAGAGGGTAAGTCCAGCTTGTCGCCTGCAGCTGAGACGAGAACAGGTATCCTGTCTTGAGTTAAAGCAAGGAGTTAGGAGACTCCCGATCCCTGCTGCTCAGGTACACCAGACGTGAAATTCAGGGTCGCACCCGGGACTGATTGGACTGGTCTAGGAAACAGGAAAGGCGACCGAGGGTAGAACGCAGAAGGGGACTTGAGCAGGCCGTCGAGAAAGTGCGTGGGTGCCCCTTCCCTCTCCTGACCGCACCACAAGGCGAGGCGCGCTGGGGCTTTCTCCCGGGTGACCGGACGGTGACCAGGGTTGGCGCTGCCCGGCCCCACGCGGTGCTTTCAGCCGCCTCCTCCGCCCTGGCCGCAGGCGCTGCTGAGAGCCCTGGCGGAACACGCGTCCGGGCCCGACAGGCGCAGGCTGCTGGAGCTGTGCAGCCGGCAGGGCGCCGCCGACTACGGCCGCTTCGTGCGCGACGCCCGCACCGCGCTGCTGGACATCCTCCAGGCTTTCCCGTCCTGCCGGCCGCCGCTGGCGCTGCTGCTCGGTGAGTGCTCCCGCCCCTGCCCCCCACCCCCGCCCCTGCAGGGGTGAATGCTCCCGCCCCCCCCGCCCCTGCTGGGTGAGTGCTCCCGCCCCCCCCGCCCTGCTGGGTGAATGCTCCCGCCGCCCCCCCGCCCCTGCTGGGTGAGTGCTGCTGCCCCCCCCCGCC